GGCCTTTCTCCTTCTAGACCATTCTCCTTTTCTTCTTCCTGGTTCATAAAATAAGATTCCTCAGGTGTGTTCCCTCCTTCCCTCCCACCACTGCCATGGTTCAGACCTTTTTTCTGTTGCATCTGAACCATTTTCAGGAGGCTCCTTCCTGAGAGCTTCCACCTTGATCCTTTGCTCTCACTGTTTCCACTTCCTGGCACACTCTTCCCCCAGATGCCCACATGGCTTGCTGCTCAAATGTCAGCTCCTCAGAAAGGCCTTCCTCAGCACCCTGTGTAAAATAGCCCCCAGATCCCTCACACCCAATCTCCCTTACCTTGTTTTGTTTTTTCCATAGCACTTATAATAAACCTCTATAATCATTTGGTTATTTTTATGTAAATAAATACTTTATTTTTGAATACTTTTAGATTTACAGAAAATTTGCAAAAATAATACAGAGAGTTTCTATATGCCTCTTTCCCAATTTCCCCTGTTGTTAGCTTCTTACATTGCTAGGGTACATTTGTTAAAACGAAGGGACCACACTGATACACTATTATTAGCTAAATGCCATACTTTATCCAGATTTCCTTAGTTTTTCCCTAATGTCCCTTTTCTGTTCAAGGATCTCATCCAGGATACCATACGACATTCATCCTTAGCTTCCTCTATTCTCTGTGAGAGTTTCTCAGACTTTCTTTGTTTTTGATGACCTTGACAGTTTTGAGGAGTACCATCAGATGTTTTGTAGAATGTCCCTCAATTTGGGTTTGCCTAGTGTTTTTCTCATGGTTAGTTTGGGTGTTATAGGGTTTTGGGAGAAAGGACATAGGGTGAAGTGCCCTTCTCATCACATTATATCAAAGTTCATACTATCAACAAGATTTATCACTGTTGATGTTGACTTTAATCATCTGAGACAGTGTCTATCAGATTTCTCCACTGTAAAGTTACTTTTACTCCCCTTTACATACTCTACTCTTTGGAAATAAGTCACTAGGCACAGCCCACACTCAAAAGGTGGGGACTTAAATTCTACCTACTTAATGAGGAAGTATCTACTTAAATTACTGGGAAGTTCTTGTGTGCTGGAGGTTTGCGTCTTCTCCATTTATTATTCAACCATTTACTTATATCAGTATGGACTCACAGATATTTGTTTTATACTCTGTGTTATAATCCAATACTGTATTATATATTTTTTGCTCAAACTGTTCCAGCCTTGGCCATTGCGAACTATTTCAGGTGGCTCCTGTGTCACTTTGACATTATTTTGTTATTTGAACACTTCCTTACTTTTTGGTGCTACAGGATGCTCCAGGCTCATCTTGTATATTTCCTGCCCCAACCCTAGTATCAGCATTTCTCCAAGAAGTCCCAGTTCCTTTTCTTAGAGAATGTTATTAGAAAACAGATCTGGGTTTTGGGTGTGCTTGTTGCTGGGTGTCTTTGCTTCTAGGCCTTCTCAGAGGACAAACCTAAGAAACTCACGTATGCACTCACATCTATAATTATTTCTGTATGAATTCATCTGTGTCTGTGTTAAGCTAAATGTAAATTTATACTGATATCTTTGACTCTAATCCAGTATCACATGGATCATTCTAGCCTTCTCTCCTTGCTTATCTGTAAGTTCCCTCACCAGTGGTGAGCAGCCTGGCTCCCACCATCCATTTATTTATTTGTTCATCCCAGTATACATGTACAGCAATGTTGGAATTATTAGGCCATATCCCCATGAGAAACAACTTTAACAACTAGCGTTCAGTGTTCCTATACAGTCCCTTTTGTCTTTAGTCTTAGTGTGTATAGTGAAAACACCATTTGTCAAAGTTACTTAGGTCAGCACCTTTTGCTCAGTCTCCTCAGTGAGGTTATGTCTTACATAATATAGTTAGATTTTTTTTTGTCATAGTGTGCATTCTATCCTGGGATCCCCCAACCTCCTGGTTGATTTTTAAAAATTTTTTGTGTATATTAAGTTTCACTCTTTGTGCTTTAAATTTCTGTAACTTTTGACAATTGCACAGCATCATACATCTACCACTACAATACAGATTAATTCCACAGCCTAAAAATCCCTTGTGCTTCCCCTACTTCCATGCTATTACCTGTTTTCCCTCCAGTAGAATATAAGCTTCATAATGACAGGGATTTTGTCTGTTTGGTTTGATGTTGTATTCTCAGTCCCTAAAAAAGTGTCTGGTGTGTAGTAAGTGCTCAATAAATATGTTTTTGGAAGGCAAGAAATCATCTACTCTTGCCTTTTGCAATCCAACTCTCCTGTCCTCCATAGTAAAACTTCTAAAACTTCACATAGAAATATATCAGTTCCTGGCCTGGAAATTCATCATGGTATAGAGAGACATTTGTGCATATAGGCCCTAGCCAACTTCTCTCCCCCAGGATGGGTTACACGCTCCACCCCTGTAAGTAAGCATATGTATAACTCTACTATAGTATTTTCTACCATATACTACAATGATTCTTTTTCCCCTAGCTTTATTGAGGTATAATTAAGATATACAATTGTGTATATTTACACTAATATGTATAAAATAACTAATAAGAACCTGCTGTATAAAAAAATAACATAAAACAAAATTCAAAAAAAAGTTGTGCATATTTAAAGAATACAATGTGATAATTTGGTATATGTATACATTGTGAAATGATTACCACAATCAAGGTAATTTATGTACACATCACCTCTAATAGTTACCATTTTTTGTGTGTTTGAGAATGCTTAAGAGCTAGTCTCTTATCAAATTTCAAGTATTCAATACAGTATTGTTAACTATAGTTATCATGCTATACATTAGGCCCCTGAACTTATTCATCTTATAATTGAAAACTTGTACTCTTTGACTAGCATCTCCTGATTTCCTCCACATCCCAGCCCCTGGTAACCACAATTCTACTCTATGCTTCTATAAATTTGACTTTTTTTTTAGATTCCACATATAAATGTGGAATATAAATTACTTAGCATAATGTCCTCTAGGTTCATCAGTGCTGTTGCAAATGTGGCAGAATTTCCTTCTTTCTCATGGCTGAATAATAGTGTGTGTGTGTGTGTGTGTGTGTGTGTGTGTGTGTGTGTGTGTGTGTGAAATCATCTTTATTCATTCATTCATAAATGAACACTTAGGATGTTTCCATATCTTGGCTATTGTGAATAAAGCTACAATGAATGTGGGAGTGCAGATATTGCTTTGAGATACTGATTTTGTTTCCTTCAGATATATGCCAGAAGTGGGATTATGGATCATATGGTAGTTCTATTTTTAATATTTTGAGGAACCTCCATATTGTTTTTTATAATGTCTGTGCCAATTTATGTGTCTACCAACAGTACACTAGGCCTTTTCTCCACGTCTTTGCTATCACTTATCTCTTGTCCTTTTGATAAAAGCCATCCTAACAGGTGTGAGGTGATATTTCACTTTGGTTTTGATTTGCATTTCCCTGGTGATTAGTGATGTTGAGCACCTGTTCATGTACCTGTTGACTGTTAAGTCTTCTTTGGAAAACTGTCTATTCAGGTCCTTTACTCATTTAAAAATGGCATTATTTAGGTTATTTTTTATTTTCTATTGAGGTGTATGAGTTCCTTATGTACTTTGGATATCAACCCCTTATCAGGTATATGGTTTGCAAATATTTTCTACCATTACGTAGGTTACCTTTTCACTCTATTAATTGTTTTTCTGTGCAGGAAAAACACAGAATGTGTTTTCTCTAGGAATTTTATGATTTCAGATATTACATTTAAGTATTTAATCCACTTGAATTATTTTTACGAGGGCTGTAAAATAGAAGTCCAGAGTTATTCTTTTGTATGTGGCTATTCAGTTTTCCCAGCACCGTTTACTGAAGAGACTACCCTTTCCCCATTGTGTGTTCTTGGTGCCCTTATCAAAAATTAGTTGACTGCATAGGTACAGACTTATTTCTGAGCTCCCTATTGTGTTCCATTGATCTATGTGTATGTTTTATGCCAGTACCACATTGTTTTGATTACTGTAGTTTCACAATATAGTTTGAATTCAGAAAGTGTGATGTCCCCAGCTTTGTTCTTCTTTCTCAAGATTGCTGTGGCTGGTTGAGATTTTTTGTGGTTTCATACAAATTTTAGGATTGTCTTTCAACTTCTGTGAAAAATGCCCTTAGAGTTTTGCTAGAGATTGCATTGAATCTGGAGATAATTTAGGATTGTATGGGCATTTTAACAATATTAATTTTTCCAATCCTTGAAAATGGCATATAGTTCACTTATTTGTGTTTTCTTCAATTTATTTCATTAGAGTCTTGTAGTTTTCAGTGTACAGGTTTTTAACCTCCTTGGTTAAATGAATTCTTAGGTATTTTTATGCTATTTTAAATGGGATTGTTTTCTTAATTTCTCTTTCTGGTAGTTCATTGTTAGAGTGTAGAAGCAGAACTGATTTCTCTATGTTGATTTTGTATCCTTCAGCTTCACTGAATTTGTTGATCAGGTCTAACAGTTTTCTGAGTCTTTAGGGTTGTCTATATATAAGATTATCTCATCTGCAGAGATAATTTTACTTCTTCCTTTTGGATTTGGATGCCTTTTATTTCTTTTTCTTGCTTAATTACTCTGGGTAGGACTTCCAATATTATGTTGAATAACAATGGCAAGACAGGGCATCCTTGTCTTGTTCCTGATCTTACAGGAAGCTTTTCAACATTGAGTATGATGTTAACTGTGGGCTTGTGATACATGCCTTTTGTTATGTTGATGTACATCATTCCTTCTATACCTAATATTTTGAGAGTTTTTATTATGAAATGATGTTGAGTTTTATCAAATGTTTTTTCTGCATCTATTGAGATGATAAAATGATTTTTATCCCTTATTCTTTTAACATTATTTATCATATTGAATGACTTTCATGTGTTGAATTTCCCCTGCATCCCAGGAATAAATTTCACTTGATCAGGTGTGTGATCCCTTTAATGTACTGTTGAATTCAGTTTGGTAATATTTTTGTTCAGTACTTTTGTGTCTATACTCATCAAGGATACTGGCCTATAGTTGTTGTTGTTGTTGTTTTCTTGTAGTGTCCTTGTCTGGCTTTGATATCAGGGTAATGCTGGCCTAGTAAAATGAGTTTGGGAGTGTTCCTTCCTCTTCAATTTTTTGGAAGAGTTTGAGAAGGACTCATGTTAATTCTTTTTTAAATGTTTGGTAGAATTCATGAATAAAGCCATCTCGTGTGGGCTTTACTTTGTTGGGAGGATTTTGATCACTGATTCAATCTCCTTATTTGTTATTGGTTTATTTCTTCATGATTCAGTCTTGGTAAGTTGTATGTTCCCAGGAATTTATCTATTTCTTCTAGGTTATCCAATTAGTTGACATATAATTGTTCATAGTAGTCTTTTATGATTCTTTGTATTTCTGTATCAGTTGTAATGTTGCCTCTTTCATTTCTTATTTTATATTTGAGTCTTCTCTCTTTATTTTCTGAAATCCAACTGTGAACCAGAGCTAGCGTCTTTGCTGATATCTTCAGTGATAGTCTTTACTGGGCAAAATGGCCAGGATCAGAACCAGAAACTGACCCAAAAGGCTCTGAGAGTGCAAGCTCTCTCATTGAACCAAGGACTTAGGGGCACACTTCACCTACACCACCTTCCTCCAGCACCACCCTTGGACATAGATAATCTGTACACTGCTCCTTAGAAGGACTTGCTTTGGCCTTTCTCTAGGATGGCTTCACCCTGTGTGATGAGGATTCCATGAATCCAAGGAGATGAGACCATACAGAGGCTGTGGTCCTTCTTCTGGACCATGCTTTGGGTAGCTGGGACCCTGAGATTCCCTTCCCAGATGACTCCAAACTGGTTTCCAGAACCTGTGTAGTCCTCTTCCCTGGACCTGTCTTCCTGAGGGTGGATATACCATGGGGTGCTTCCCCCTGAGAATAGTTCTATGGGTGGAGGTAGGATATGAAATCTGGAATGTCTTATGTTCACATAGCTGTGTGCATGGTCCCTCACAGTGCATAACTGCGTTGGATATGAGCAGAGAGAAACTGGCCACAGTCTTAGGGACTCATTGATATTTTTGTCCAAAATTCTACCAATGTTAGGGATGGATCCACTTTCCTCCACCCCAGGCTAAAAGGTGGGTTCACTGGAATTTAGGTCCATTCATTAGAATCTGATCTAAACGTTTTGTCTTGCTTCTCTCTGATCATAAGTTACAGGTTGGGTCATAAGGTTATTCACTGTTCATGGCTGGGCTAGGACAGCATCAGGGGTGCATGAGTTCTTGGCTGAGATATATATGGAACTATCAAGAGACTCCAGGAAGGCCAAGGGCAATCTTGAGCTACAGTGACATTGCTTTCTTGAGCATCCTTATACTAGGCTCCCAAACACATTTCCTCTGATTCATCAAGGGAAGGGTCTGTGTCTTAATCTATGTTGAATCCCTTTCTTTTAGCATCAAGTCTGGCTCTCAGCAGTTACACAATAAATGCTCATTGAACCTTACTGACTCTTCCTAGAAACTATAAAGTAAGATATTATCATATTCACCCTAGCAGAAAAGAGCAGGTCTCCCAGTCCTCAGGTCAAATAAAACAAAAGCCGTGACCTCATTAAAAGAACCAGAGATGCCATTCCTAAAGCAATTGTCAGCTGCAACAGGCACTGGACGAAATATATGGAAGGAAAACCAATCTTTATTCCAGCATTAACAGATCTTTGCAATAGCTAGAGCTGTAGTAATACACTCAAGGACTCTAAAATGTTTGTTCATTAAGCCATGGTTCTCAAATTTTAGAGTTCAGCAGAATAACCAGGAGGGACTTTTAAAAACATATACTCCTGAGCCTCTCCCACAGAGTATCTATCTGATTCAGTAGCTGGGGGTGGGATCTGAAAATCTGCATTTATAACAAGTTCCCAGGTGATGCTGATGATGCTGATCTGGACATCATACTTTGAGAACCATTGTTTTAAGCAAAAGAAGAAAGGTGCTTAAATTACCAATAAAGACCTTCACACAAACCAATGTGAGATATAAAAGAGTTTGGTAGATAACCCCAAACCAAGATCATGAGAGAAAAAGAGAATCCAGGTTGAACAAATCAGAGATATTAACAAAAGCCTCGGGAGCCAACTTGGAAGATGCTCATACTGGCGAAAGACCAGACAATTTGAGCTTCCAAAGGATAATAATTGCAATTGAAATCCATCAAACATGTTTAAATCCATGAGTTCTTAATATTTAAGGAAACACATTGGTCATCGCTGGGGGATAATAAAGGGAAAGCAACCAAACACTTATCCTGCTTTTCTTACATGAACCCTCTCACTGAGTAACAATTATAAATGAGAGGTAACATCTCTTTACAAAAGTATTTTAATTAATAAAAATAAAAAATAGAATTAGAAAATCACCATTTTACAGCTTCCCAGTGAATTGGTGAATCCAGGCATACGAACATTGACAGTTGATAATATAAAAATAGAGACCATCAGATATTATGTAACCCTACCAATGAAAGAACAGAATACCACCTATATATATATACAGTTTTGCCAAAGAGATTGAACATGATTCTGGTCAAGCTTCTGGAACCAGCTGCCAATTTTCAGGGAATACTGAGGTCAGAGGAATATGCTTAAATGCACTACAATTATACATACAATCAAAAAAAGCCAAACTGGGAAATTTTACAGATCAAATTCTCCCAGTTCCTCAACAGATAAATAATATGAAGAAGATGGAGAAGGAAACTGTCAATTAAGCGACTTCAGTTTTTTAATGGGCAACAATAAACTAAAGTACATAGAAATGCACCCGTGGTTGACAAGACAATAAAAAAAAGCAAGTCAGGATAGTGGTTATTTTCGGGGGAAGGAGGGGTTGGGATTGGGGCAGGGAATTGAGAAGCTTCTAGGATGGTTGACAAAGTTTTCTTTCTTGACCTGGGTGATGATTACAAGGGCACAACTCCATTGTGTGGTGAGATTTTTTGTATCTATGTTTTATTTTACAATAAAAAGTTTTTTAAAAAAATCATTCAACCACTGTTGCAGACAAAACAAAATGGTGAACTGTTCAGGGATATGTTCCATGTGAAAATACTCATTTTATAGAAACCAAATATATTTTTTCAGACCTAGGTCTGCCTTTCTTATGAAGTGTTTGGGCGAAGATAATGTTGGAGTTAGTGGATAGGATAAGTCAGAAACCATTCATGCTAAGCAGAGGCTTTCTTCCAGTTTAGTGCACTATGAAAACTACTGAAAAAGTTAGAATAAAGAATCCCAACTTAGTCTTTGATATTTGCAACTAAATGATAAATGAACAAGACTTCAGAGGATTGGATATAGAGAGTTGTGAAGACAAAACAAACTCTCGAGGTTGTTTCTCCAATTTGAGAAGGAAAATGTTGAATCTTGGTTCTAGTTGCCATATTGTTAGCTAGCGATGAGTATCCTTTGTTGAGCCCTACTCAGCACCCACTTTGGTACTGCTGATTTGCCTCTGTGGCCTTGAAGCTCTGGGAGTTTATCTGACTTTTTGTGCTGCCCAACCAGTTCAAGACAAGTGGATCAGTCTCTTGGTCTGATAGGCTATAAATCTGTGATGTTCAAAGGAAGGGAGAGACCCTACCACCTCACTATACCCACAGTGCTGAGCACAGTCCAGACACATCACAGAAACTAAGAGTCTGTCAGTCTGAAATGATTGTCCCTCACACTGACCTCATCTCTACTTTTCATGGAAGTTGAAATTATGTGGAATGTTTGAAAATATTGTTGAAAGTATGCTTGCAGGATTAAAACACATGATTCATATCCTAAAATCATCTTGGTTTGTAGCAAAAGGGTAATGACTAAGTCTTTAACAATACAAATAAAAGAAAAGCTGAACTACCCAACCTAAAATATTATGCACACTCATATGTATATATACCTGTTCTTTTCTGATGGTACATGAATAAATGCTTTAATAATTATAGCTAATGTTTAATAAGAGGCCAGGTAATGCCTAGGACATTTTACATATATTAACTCACTTAACCCTCTTCACAGCTCAATGAGGTAGAGACTATTATTTTGCACATTTCACAACTGAAGAAACTGAGACACAGAGAGGATATGAATGCTGTCCAAAATCACATGTACTCCCCTGCTATTCCTTGTTCCGCTTCAGGCTCTTCACCATGTGGCAGCCAAAGTGATTTTTCTAAAAATAGAACACAAACTATCAATGCCTAACCACTGCTTTTAGGGCAAAGTCCAAATGCTATAAAATGGCTGCAAACACATCATCTGAAGGTAGACTTCTTCGTATCTCTCAGCTGCATCTTTCAGCCATCCCTGCCTCCTCACTCTCTTTCCCTAAACAACTTCATCCCCTCCTTCAATGTGTCATTCCATACTGCACCTCCCTGCTTTCTCACATGCTGAGCCCTCTCCCTGGAATGCTTTCTCTTGGTTTCTTTGCCTACCTAACACCTACTTTCTGTGGATATCCTCCTCATGATGTCTCCACAAACATACAATACGTTAGGACACTGTAGTGTGAATTCTCCTACTGTACCTGTTACCCCCTCAGTTGGTGTGACTGCTTGTTTCCTTATGTGTGTTTCCTGCTAGATTATAAGCTCCATGAGGTCATGGAACCTGACTATCTTATTAACACTGCCCCTCCAATATAGAGCCCCACGTTCCAGCAAGTAGTAGGCACTTAATAAGTATGTATTGAATTCTGGTTATTGTTATCAATTGGGTTTTGAGACCTAGGCCAGAAATGTAAATTTATGATACAATCATATAACAAGAGTTGAATCATGTCAAACATACACCACAAATTTGTTTCTGAACAGATTCTACATTCATGGCCAAGACAGACCAGCATGGGAGTCCTGGAATGGTGTTAAAAACTGGGATAGGGATACAAATAAGAAAATACAGTATAAGGCAGAATAAAATAATCACTATACATTTCTTCTGTGTGTATGGGGGGGACAGGTACGAGTGGGAAATCATGTGCATCAGACTTAAGAACTGAACAAAAAAGATAAGAGAGATTCTTTGAGAAGATAAAATAAATTGATAAACCATTAGCCAAACTCATCAAGAAAAAATGGGACAAGCCTCAAATCAATAGAATTAGAAATGAAAAAGGAGAAGTAACAACTGACACTGCAGAAATACAAAGGATCAGGAGAGATTACTACAAGCAAGTCTATGCCAATAAAATGGATACCCTGGAAGAAAGGGACAAATTATTAGAAATGCACAACCTTCCGAGACTGAACCAGGAAGAAATAGAAAATATGAACAGACCAATCACAAGCACTGAAATTGAAACTGTGATTAAAAATCTTCCAACAAACAAAAGCCCAAGACCAGATGGCTTCACAGGCAAATTCTATCAAATATTTAGAGAAGAGCTAACACCTATCCTTCTCAAACTCTTCGAAAATATGGCAGAGGGAGGAACACTCCCAAACTCATTCTATGCGGCCACCATCACCCTGATACCAAAACCAGACAAAGATGTCACAAAGAAAGAAAACTACAGGTGAATATCACTGATGAACATAGATGCAAAAATCCTCAACAAAATACTAGCAAACAGAATCCAACGGCACATTAAAAGGATCATACACCATGATCAAGTGGGGTTTATCCCAGGAATGCAAGGATTCTTCATTATACACAAATCAATCAATGTGATACACCATATTAACAAATTGAAGGAGAAAAAACATATGATCATCTCAATAGATGCAGAGAAAGCTTTTGACAAATTCAACACCCATTTATGATAAAAAAAAAACCGTCCAGAAAGTAGGCATAGAGGGAACTTATCTCAACATAGTAAAGGCCATATATGACAAACCCACAGCCAACATCATCCTCAATGGTGAAACACTAAAACCATTTCCACTAAGATCAGGAACAAGACAAGGTTGCCCATTCTCACCACTATTATTCAACATAGTTTTGGAAGTTTTAGCCACAGCCATCAAGGAAGAAAAAGAAATAAAAGGAATCCAAATTGGAAAAGAAGAAGTAAAGCTGTCACTGTTTGCAGGTGACATGATACTATACATAGAGAATCCTAAAGATGCTACCAGAAAACTACTAGAGCTAATCAGTGAATTTGGTAAAGTAGCAGGATACAAAATTAATGTACAGAAACCTCTTGCATTCCTATACACTAATGATGAAAAATCTGAATGTGAAATTAAGAAAACACTCTCATTTACCATTGCAACAAAAGGAATAAAATATCTAGGAATAAACCTACCTAAGGAGACAAAAGACCTGTATGCAGAAAATTATAAGACACTGATGAAAGAAGTTAAAGATGATGCAAATAGATGGAGAGATATACCATGTTCTTGAATTGGAAGAATCAACACTGTGAAAATGACTACTACCCAAAGCAATCTACAGATTCAGTGCAATCCCTATCAAACTACCACTGGCATTTTTCACAGAACTAGAACAAAAAAAGTCACAATTTGTATGGAAACACAAAATACTCCGAATAGCCAAAGCAATCTTGAGAAAGAAAAACGGAGCTAGAGGAATCAGGCTCCCTAACATCAGACTATACTACAAAGTTACAGTAACCAAGACAGTATGGTACTGGCACAAAAACAGAAAGATAGATCAATGGAACAGGATAGAAAGTCCAGAGATAAACCCACGCACATATGGTCACCTTATCTTTGATAAAGGGGGCAAGAATATACAGTGGAGAAAACACAGCTTCTTCAGTAAGTGGTACTGGGAAAACTGGACAGCTGCATGTAAAAAATGAAATAGAACACTCCCTATCACTATACACAAAAATACACTCAAAATGGATTAAAGACCTAAATGTAAGTCCAGACATGATCAAACTCTTAGCAGAAAACATAGGCAGAACACTCTATGACATAAATCACAGCAAGATCCTTTTTGACCCACCTCCTAGAGAACTGGAAATAAAAACAAAAATAAACAAATGGGGCCTAATGAATCTTAAATGCTTTTGCACAGCAAAGGAAACCATAAACAAGACGAAAAGACAACCCTCAAAATGGGAGAAAATATTCGCAAATGAAGCAACTGAAAAAGGATTAATCTCCAAAATTTACAAGCAGCTCATGCAGCTCAATATCAAAAAAACAACCAACTAATCCAAAAATAGGCAGAAGACCTAAATAGACATTTCTCCAAAGAAGATATACAGATTGCCAACAAACACATGAAAGAATGCTCAACATCATTAATCAGTAGAGAAATGCAAATCAAAACTACAATGAGATATCATCTCACACCAGTCAGAATGGCCATCATCAAAAAAATCTACAAACAATAATGCTGGAGAGGGTGTGGAGAAAAGGGAACCCTCTTGTACTATTGGTGGGAATGTAAATTGATACAGCCACTATGGAGAACAGTATGGAGGTTCCTTTAAAAACAAAAAGTGAAACTACCATATGACCCAGCAATCCCACTACTGGGCATATATCCTGAGAAAACCATAATTCAAAAAGTGTCATGTACAAAAATATTCATTGCAGCTCTATTTACAATAGCCAGGACATGGAAACAACCTAAGTGTCCATCAACAGATGAATGGATAAGGAAGATGTGGCACATATATACAATGGAATATTACTCAGCCATAAAAAGAAACGAAATTGAGTTATTTGTAGTGAGGTAGATGGACCTAGAGTCTGTCATACAGAGTGAAGCTAAGTCAGAAAAAGAAAAACAAATACTGTATGTTAACACATATATATGCAATCTAAAAAAAGAAAATGGAAATGGTTCTAAAGAACCTAGGGGCAAGGTGGGAATAAACTCACAGACCTACTAGAGAATGGACTTGAGGACATGGGGAGGGGGAAGTGTAAGCTGTGACAAAGTGAGAGAGTGACATGGACATATATACACTGCCAAACATAAAATAAATAGCTAGTAGGAAGCAGCCACACAGCACAGGGAGATCAGCTAGGTGCTTTGTGACCACCTAGAGGGGTGGGATGGGGGGTGAGAGGGACGGAGATGCAAGAGGGAAGAGATATGGGGACATATGTATGTTAGCTGATTCACTTTGTTATAAAGCAGAAACTAACACACCGTTGTAAAACAATTATACTCCATAAATATGTTTTAAAAAAAGCAGTAGGACATGCAAAAAACAGTGAATCTTTGAAATTACTTGGATTTAAATATATTTAAATAATATGGCATTCCATTTTCCTAATCTCTACAAGTATATTATTCATTGAGTTTAATTAAACTTAATTGAATTACCAACAAAAAGAATACAGAGAATTTTGATAAGAAGGTGATGGAAATAGCAATCTAGAGAGAAGGAATAATGTAAACTAGGGCTTGAGGACAAGAAAAGGCATAACTTGTTCAGGGATAATGGGAGTCTTCATAAATTGAAATGCACCTGAATTTTGAATGCTATAGCATTTTACTTAGCATCTCAGTACAAGGCAATAATCAAAGAGGCAGATGGAGTGTGGATGAATGTGCACAGGTACTCATTGTAGATTCCAACTCTGGGTGAACTGCATCAAGTAGTGTTCTCAAAATCAGTCCTGTTTTTTTCAGGAAAAACTTGTGTCAGCATTTCTAGTATCCATCTCCATAAGAGAGATGACCTGATGAAGGAACTTGAGTTTGGTGAAACAGATTTCTTTAGTCTGAAGGATGCATGAATATCAGACAATCTTGGTTCAACACCATGCAACCCTGGACTCATCAACTCATTTTGTTTGGAGTCTGTCTAGTAAGTCCCCTACATACAAACCTTCAAGTTGTGAAATTTCAAAGATGCGAATGTGTATTCACATGTCCAGTCACATTAGTTCACATGTCTGGTGTACATTGTCACGTGTATGCATCCTCTACAAGTGGTTGTGCTTTTACAGTACTGTACAGAGTCCAGTAGTACAGTATCTTTATTTCAAACCCAGGATGCCCAGAAGCAAGCATAAATGCAGCAGTGATGTAGCTGGTACTACCGTACTTTCCAAGGTGCTGTACTGTAAGATTAAAAATGTTTTCTTTTTTTGTTGTTGTTCATTTGTTTTTTATGTATTATTTGTTTGAAAAGTAGTGTAAACCTATTACAGTAAAGTACTATATAGCCGATTGTGTTAGTTGGGTACCTAGGCTAACTTTGTTGGACTTACAAACCTGTTCTCAGAATGGAACTCATTCATATGTAGGGGACTTACTCTATTTTCCTTTGGCTGTGGTTTGTCCTCACATGGAGGGCTTCCTACAGGAAGAAAATATGCTGGTCGGGGAGCTTAATAATTTCCATCCCTGTGATTCTGATTTCCAAAAGCACACTGATAAATCCCCCTTTTGGATACACTGTGTTGATGAGAAGTTGCCCTGGAGAGATAGATCCACTCTTGGTGGGCTCTTAAGTCAGCTTTCTGAGCTCTAATGATGAGGTTCACATAATTCAAAAAGAGTCATGTACCAAAATGTTCATTGTAGCTCTATGTACAATAACCAGGACATGGAAGCAACCTAAGTGTCCATCAACAGATGAATGGATAAAGAAGATGTGGCACATATATACAATGGAACATTACTCAGCCGTAAAAAGGAACGAAACTGAGTTATTTGTAGTGAGGTGGATGGACCTAGAGACTGTCATACAGAGTGAAGTAAGTCAGAAAGAGAAAAACAAATACCATATGCTAACACATATATATGGAATCTAAGGGGAAAAAAAGGTCATGAAATACCTAGGGGTAAGACGGGAATAAAGACAGACCTACTAGAGCATGGACTTGAGGATATGGGGAGGGGGAAGAGTAAGCTGGGACAAAGTGAGAGAGTGGCATGGACATATATACACTACCAAACGTAAAATAGATAGCTAGTGGGAAGCAGCTGCATAGCACAGGGAGATCAGCTAGGTGGTTTGTGACCACCTAGAGGGGTGGGATAGGGAGGGTGGGAGGGAGGGAGATGCAAGAGGGAAGAGATTTGGGAACATATGTATATGTATAACTGATTCACTTTGTTATAAAGCAGAAACTAACACACCATTGTAAAGCAATTATACTCTAATAAAGATGTTAAAAAAAATCCTCAACAGAAAAAAAAAAGGATGAGGTTCAGTCATCGAGCTGCACCTGTGATCGGAGGCACAGTGGTGTTGTAACTAAGAGTGCAAGCTCTAGAGCTAGTAGCCCAGTTCCACCGTTATGGTAGTAACTTCTGTGTCTCAGTTTCCTCATCTATAGCATGGGTTAATGACAGAACCTACCACATAGAACTGTCATGAGGATTAAATGAGTTCATAAGAATGAAACCCTTAAAAGAGTGCTTGGCACACAGAAAGTGTTCAATGAGGGTAAGCTATTAGTATTGTTCAGTAAATAAAGACAATCTAGTTAATAACTCTTGTAATTCTCAAAGCCCTCTTTAAGGTGACTATGAATATCTCTGTTACTCATGAATTTTTCTCAACCCAAGACACACAAAACCAAGGTTCATAGCAACCAAAGAACAATTATCAGCCATCTTCCTGGAGGACAATTTCACTTGAAGATTTAAGGCAAAAGTAAACATTGTGGTATTAATATAAACAGAGATTGCATATAGAGTGAAATTTAAAATTTGTATAAATGTTTACTATAAAGCATAAAACTTTCAAGAAATTTCTTGCTTGTAGCACACCAACTCCAGGGATTAACCTCCAGAATCCTGGGGCTGAGTTTGGTCTCTTCTCTCTTTGAAAGAATTTGATTCTGAAAAGACAATTTTATTTCTAAGTCCTTTGGGACTACCTCACTGTAATCCCCATTTCAGACAAGATAATCAAATATGAAACTGCTTCTTGCTCAGGAAATATTTCTGTACATTAACAAAATCAAAGTAGAATAAATGATAATTAGAAAATGACCAGATCATAGAAAACTTCATAGTGACCCCATCTTTATATTATTACTCGCTATTAGGGTAAATATTTTGAGCAGTTATGCCCTTGCCTTCTTGTAGTTAACAAGGTTAAATAGGAGGATATCTATACACAGGCATAGTTACTGGAATCAACAAGGATGGGGGGAAAAAGACACATAACCACGGGACAGGAATAAGAGTCATCTATCTCAAAACAACATGCATGGAATTGATCCACGTTCTTTCTCTGAGAGATGCCATCTGCTTTGGGTGTCAAGGATGGAGGAGGTGAGTGACTAAGACTGGAATAGCAGAGTGATGGCAAAGGAAAGCTTGGCCACCCCCAGAATCTTATTTGTGTTCTCTCCATTTTTTCTCTGTGGCCTTCCTTCTTTCTCCTAGACAACCAGTGCCCTCAAGCCTTTTCGCCTCTGTTCAGCTCATCAGTACTCTTCATCTGCTGCTGTGGAACTAATAACCTCACTCCATTAAAGAATATATGACTAATAAAGACTACCATAGTATCTTTATTAAGAAGCTTGCCTTTTTTAAAAAAATAGTGATTTACTTTTATATATGATTATTTGTAATATTTATTTTGATAATTGCAAATTTTCAGAAAAAGTTGCAATAGTATACACTACTCAGATTCACCAATTATTTACATTTTGCCTCGTTTGCTTTATCATTCTCTCTCTTTCAAATATATATGTATATATTTGTAGTTCATTTGTTTCCTGAAACATCTGAGAGTAAGTTGGTGACATCAAGCCCCTTTACCAAGTACTTCAGCGTGCATTTCCTAAGAACACATTCTCTTACATAACCATAGTACAGCAATGAAAATCAGGAAATTTAACACTTATACAATGCTATTATCTAATCCACACTCCATATTCAAATCTCACAATTGTCCCAATGTCCTTTATAACTGTTTTGTTTTTGCCAATCCGTAATTTGACTCAGGATCATGCGTTGCATTTGGTTGTCATGTAACTCTAATTTCCCTTAAACTGGAGCAGTCCATGAGCATTTCCTTGTCTTTTTTGTCCTTAACAATTGTGCAGAGTACAGACTAGTTATATTGTAGAATGTCCCTCAATTTGGATCTGTCTGGTGTTTCTTCATGATTAGATCCTCTGATAGGAGCACCACAGAAGTGAAGTTGTTCTTCTCCAGTACACTGTATCAGGAAGGACCTAACATTGGTTTGTCACAATATTGGCGATGTTAAATTTGATCCCTTTGTTAAAGGGGCATCTGCGAGACTTCTCCACTGAAAGGTTATTAGTTTTCCCGTGGTAATTAATAAGTAGGTGGGGAGATTCTTTGAGACTATGTCAATATGTTCTTCATCCAACTTCTACTCACGAGATTTGGCATCTGCTGATGATTTTCTAACTCCGTCATGCCGTCTACATTTATTAGTTGGCATTCTCCTTTAAGGAAAACCTTTTCCTTTCCCCCCATTTATTCATATCAGTATAGACTTATGGGTTTTTATTACATTCATTGGGCTGTAATCCATTACTGAATTATTATTTATTTTAAACCTCAAATTATCCAATATTTCACCAGTGAGAGTCCCTCCAAGCTGGGTTTGGTGTCCTTTTGATAGGTTCCCGCTATTCTTTGAGCATTTCCTTATTTTCTGGCACAACAAGATATTTCAGGATCATCTTATGCTTTCTATGCCTCAGCCCTGGAAGCATCCATTTCTCTAAGGTGCCCTGGTTCCTTTTAATAGAGAATAGTATTTAGAAAACAAGATATGGCACTAGATATATTCATTGTTATTGACGTGTCAGTGTTTCCAGGTACGTTCAGAGAATAAAGCTAAGAAATATAGACATGTATGTGTATTCACACACATACAGACACATATATGTAAACATACATACATATACACAGAAGGTTGCAATTTTCGTTTAAGGCAAAAGAATCAAGCATTATCTCAACTTCTGTTCTCTAACAAAATCAATGGAAGATGGCACTTTTAAGGAGTAAGATGTATGTCTCTTGGTGATTCTGAAATCACACCATGGTGATGAAGTTCTCTGCCTAAGGGTTGACCTGGGAGTGAGCTTTAAAATGTTTTTCCCATTCATGTGTATTGAACCATCAAAACACTGCCAAAGGAGATAGGGTGATCAGAGGCTTTGAAGGAGAGGGTAGTTGACAGTGATTCAGGATGGACCTTTTGCACCTAGGAAAGAGTTGTGGACAAGCCTGACAAATAGACTCTCTCTTCTAGAAATGAAAACAATTTAGAAATAAGAAGGTTGTATTTATGTCAGAGCAAAACTGCTGATGAATTTAGGAAGCCACCTGTTATTTCAAGTGAACCTTCCATCTAACCTCACTGTGTAAAAGTGAGATCACATATCTTATGAGATATGGGATTACATATCTTATTGTTTATTATTAGTTTCTTTGACTACCTGAAGACAGGTGATCACCATGTCTTACTCAGCCCTGTACCACTGTAGCACTTACTAACCTGTAGTTGTTCAAGAAATGTCTGCTAAGAGTTTCTTACTTTGGTTTCCTTGGAACATTTTAAATGACCTTAACGGGCACTCATAACTTTTAAGGTAATAATCGTCATTTACTTTTATTAGAAACCTTTAGTTTGGCTCATGGCAATAGATCCAGCAAAAGGAATGATTGTTTACAACAGCTTAGACAAAAGGGCTGCCTTTGGAAAAAGAAATGCACTAAGATAAATATTACATTCTACACTCAAAACACCTTCCCACTTAAAAAGAGTCCAGGTGCAGAGGGAGGCTGCTAAGCTATGGCAGGGAGAGCTCCGCAATGGAAGCCAATGTCATCTTCCTAGTAGCTCATAACTGCATGATCTTGAATAGGTTCCATAACCACTGGGGCTCAGTTTCCTTTTCTGTAAAATGGGAGTATTAATACCTGACTACTGTGGCCTGAATATGTCTCTTCAAAATTCATATGTTGAAATCCTAATGCCTGATTTAGGAGGTGGGACATTTGGGAGGTGATTAGATTGTAAGGGTAGAGCCCATGAATGAGAGTAGTGCCTTATACAAGAGACCCCAGAGAGATCCCTAGAGATCCATCATGTGAGGACACAGCGAAAAGGAGCCAGCTATGAACTGGGAAGAGAGCTCTCATTGGAATGTGACCATGCTGGCACCT